TCATCACCTACACATTTCAGCTCTTAGGACGTACGATAAGGGTGGATCACGCATCAAACCAGACTAAGGATGGACAGCGTAGAACCGGAATGAATGCGGCACCGGAAATAATTAAAGGTTTGTAGCTTTCAACTACCAAAAAAAAAATAAATTTTTTTACCAATAAACTAAAGTGTTTCATCGAATTCATCAAGATGATTCAGCATCACCGTCTGGCTCTAGCTCCGAGGATGATTTTGCAGACAAAATTGATCCTGATGATCCCATGAGAGATTATCTTATCAAAAGGCATAAAAAAGAAAAGAGGAAAGCGAAAAAACGTGCCAAGAAAGAAAAGAAGAAAGAAAAAAAATAAGACTTTATTTGTATAATTTTGCATTTATATAACAGATATAGACGGACGATATGTCTTGCATTAGAGATAGCATCACTTTTCGTGTGTAAACCTTTTAGTTACTACGTTAAAAATTCTTGGATCGTCATCCAATATTCTTAAACATGGGATAAATTTTTAGTGACAATGAATTCGATGCAGGTTGGATTTATTTTTTTTTTTAAAAAAACTATCTTGCAAAGAAAGTTCTTAGGTTAAAGGATTCGCTCCTTTTGTATACTCCGGCTCCATGGTCTAGTAGTATGATTCTCGCTTTGGGTGCGAGAGGTCGTGGGTTCAATTCCCGCTGGAGCCCGATAAATCTATCATTTTTCTCATTTTGCCTGAGCGAATAAATTTCAAATACATCGACTCCTTTTTTCTTCGATAATAAATAAACCGTTTTTTTAAAATTGTTTCGGCCTACTCGTGACAATATTACATTTTACAATTTAATATAACTATGCTTTATTTGATATACTTTTCGGGATCAATTTCATGGTTGCACACAAGAGCAATCATTTTTTCCGAAATGATTTACTCCTCTGATTTAAGCTTCTTAGAATTTGAATTAACTTCAATTACATCATCTGAATTTGAAGTAACATCTGCTTCCTGTTTACGTTTTGTGCTAAACATCACAAAGGTCATTAAAGTCAATAATTAATCAAAAGAGAAAGTTACTTTATACGCTCAACCTCGGAACATACTTTCCGTGAGCGAAGGCAACCGCTCGGCTTAAACGAAAACTAACGCAAAACATGTCTTTATTTGGTGCAACCTTTCTAACAAAATGAAAGTTATATGCGTCGGGTTGTAACGGATGTTCCAATCTTGAATTTATCCGCTTTCAGGGTAAAGATGAGAAATGGGGTAAGTTACCTAAAGTGTCTTAAACACGATGATGGCAAAAACCAAACCTACTTCGATCACATCATTCTCTGGTGTTTCACTATTTGAGAAACAATGGCAATGGACCATCGGTAAATCCTTCTTTGAGGTTTCAAACAAAGGTTCTTTGTCTTTGAACAAACCTTTAAATGCATCTGTAATATCGAATAAGAAAAAAAAAATCTCCATTCATAACGTTTTTCAAAGCATACGGTGTCAAAGATTTAATCATGTTACCCAAAAATTCTATGGCTGTAGCCGGCAAGTTCATGATGAAGTGATCAAAAGATCGGAAACTGGATGTTTTTACCAATGAATTAGCATCAGTTGAGGAGGATGTTCCTTCCTTGGAACAAGATGTCGTGTCCAATTCTTCAATCGCTTTTTTAATGAAAATTCTTCCATCTAAATTATAAGGACGAATTTTATCATTTACCTATCCTCATGACAAAAAAAGTCATTCAATAAAATAAACATGAATTTATCAATTGGATGATTAAAATTACACAATCCTTACCTTATTTAGTGATATGTTTTCGATCAGATACTTATAAGAAGCAGGGTTTAGATCATTGGCATACACTATGCACCCTTTTTTAGCACTAGGAATTGCGAAAGGTCCGACGCCAGCAAAAACGTCGCCTAAAATATGAATAATACTAGAAATAAAATACTTGGGATAAACACAATTTTAATTGAGATTATCGTATCACTACCCACATATATAATCACCCTTTTTAAACATCTTGATTAATCGTTCATGCTCAGTATGTAATCTGGAGTTCCAGTATACTTGCGAGAAATCGAATCGAAATCTACAGTTGCTTTCTTTCTGGAAGAGGCAACGAGATTAAGGATTAGGTCAACATCGAAATTTATCATTATAAATGCTATCTTATGCTTGAAACGAACCACTTCTGCCAGCATATTGCTTTCACCAGCTAAAATTTCCATGTTGAAGACCCGATAGGTCGTATCAATGATGTCTGTCTTGTTGACAACTGTCGTGATCTTTGGATTTTTCTGAACAAACAGAATTTTGATTATTGAGTCTTCTGATCACCAATTCACTCAATTCATAAAAATTGGCGAATGTTTGTATAATCACATCAAGAATCACTTGACCAATAAGATATTTCCAAGGAAGAAATTCTTCACGCAAATTCATGTGTGCTGAGTTAATTGGAAAATCGTAAGAAAATACTGACTCGTGAAAGTGTTGGAGTGTATTGATCAACATAATTTAAAGCTGTAGCTTACCGATATGACCGACCTGCGTAAACGATGATGGAGACTCTACACCTTCGGGCAAAATGGCTTTGAGTATTTCATCTTTAGATTCGGACATAAAACGTATTAATTGTTGTTGGGGATTGATAATTATCTAAGTAAACCCCAAATTAGATATACCAGCTCCCCAATAATCATAATTCAATTCGATTGAGTGGCGGACGACATGAAGTCCTTCGCTCTTAATTAATTCTTTGATCTCATTGGACAAGCAATCTAGATCTATGAAAAATCAATCGCCGTCAGTGAACTATGTTCAACCTCTTAAAAGCGATCGTTGTTCGAAGTTTATCGTCAAATTCAATCGGAGAACGCGAAACAACCATCCGACCTCCCGACACCTAGACAGTACCTAAGTTATTAACACGTAGATTCAATAAGACTATTTTGAAGGATTTTGTTTCAGGATCTTCTACGACATTTCGGAGCTTTGGTTGGTTGAGCAAGTCACTGTGAATTCCAAGATGACACGCGATTAATTACAGATCGACATGTGTATGTAGCATTAAGCACCAATGGACTCTGAATCTTACTTGTTCAAAATTTTCAAGAACCTTGAGGTAGAGTTGCTCGGTACACGCACTCCTATTACCTCAATAACGCGACGAAAAAGTTCTTGGTTAAGAACAGTTACTCCACGTTGAACGGGTGGAGATATCATCGTTGCTGTGCGAATCCAGCCACGTTCTTCGTCCATTTTATATGCATTTATGTAAAGATTTTCATTGGCTCGTGTGATCATATAAATTAGATGTGTGCATAATCGTTCATCGATCACCTTTAAAACAAATGGTAATTCTGACAGAAGACCTTATCTTGTCAAAAACATTTGCTCATTCATTATCCGACGTGCGCCATTTAAATCTTATGGTACGAACGATATTGATTATACTCCGCATATTAAAGAAAATAATTACATGAACCTGGTATAATTAGGCGTGCGAACTAGATAATGTTGCTGCATTGAAAGCCTGTTCTAACCTGGAGGTGTTAAGTCTGAGGTAAAAGGGGAGAAAACACTTTGATTTTCGAGAATTAAAGGAAAATCTATTGATTAAACCTTTCTATTTTATCTTTTCAAAATAAAAGTGTCAATAATCTCAGTACGCTGGAACAACTTGCGGAATGTGAGTCAGCTTTTAGAAGTTTGTGGAAGTTTGCAGAGATTTTGCAACGCTTTGTCTACTGTGGCCTCATTTTTAAATTTCGTCGGAACTTACACATTTAATGACATTCTAGGCAAAAATCTTAAAGGTAAGGTACTTTAAATTTTTCAATTTGTGGAGATTCCTTAACATATTTCTTAATACGACATAGGTTTCTACGTATGCAGAACTTTACCTAAGGAAAAATTTTATTACTGACGCAGATCAAGTGAAGCACCTCACCTCTTTAAGAAGTCTTGAAATTCTTTGGCTATGTGACAATCCCTGTGCCGATGATGAAAGACAATATCGGTACACTGTACTGAGACACCTTCCTTGGCTAAAAAAATTGGATCACCATGGTAGGTAAATACAAATGTGCATATATAGTATATATACAGTATACATACGTGTGTATGTATGCGTATGTTAGCACTAATTCATAACTTCAAAATGTTAAGACGTTACCGATGATGAAGTTCTTGCCTCCATGAACACTGTGAGTATCATTCTCATTTATATAGTATTCTCACAATTACCTGTATTTCGTTTAATCTTATCGAATCAATCATCATAGTCACCTGCGGCCATGCCGCTTAAAATTCGCAAACGTCTCACCCTTCCGGCCAAACTTTCTGGAGGAAGCGGGGAAAAGTCACCCGTAGAAATAAACGGAATGTTCCCATTGACGGCAAATCTAGACCTTAAGAATGAAGGTGTTTTGTCACCATCACCAGTACCTGGAAAGGATTCGAGTTTGAGCGACTCTCGAGTTCAGTCAAAAACGAACAATGATGACTCCAAAGACCTTAAAGCAACTGTTAAAAACGATTCCCAATCACCAAAAATCAATGCTAATGATCCTGGAAATCGATCAAAAGTTTCGATGACAACCTCTTCCGGCGTCCGACCATTGGCAAAATCACCAGATGTTCCGAGTCGATTCCTATCGCGAACACCGCCGGTTTCCGAGAATAATTCCCAAGCGTCACTGAAGATGACAAGGACAAAGTCAAATAGTGCGGTTGACACGAAAGCTCGTTTGCACGCAAAATCGGTGATCGCCCCACTCACTAAAACATCTCGAACTTCTCCAAGTCAAGATGGAAACACGGGAGAAAGCAATCAGGAGTCCAACAACAACGAGCCTCGACAGGCTAGTCATCAAAGATTTAATAAAATCAATATGTTCAATTTTACTCCACAAGTATTAATTATAATTTTTACTTTTTACGTTTCAGTCAAATGTGCTTAATGCTGTTCTTGCATTAATCGATGAACTTGATGAAAAAGAGTTACAAGTTGTTAAACGCAGATTACAATTAAAAATGCTCAATTGTCAAGGCCAACCCGGAAGTAAATGAATATCCACTTGAGTTTTGCTTCTGCGTAGGTTCTTTTATTCATCATCATCATCCAGAGATATTAGATTAGTATCACCATATCTATCATAATAATAACACATAGAATGTAGACAAAATTATAATCTATCTATAACAGGTGAATTTCTTGCTATGCATCTTCACTAATAATAGTATTTATTAATGTTTTAATACACCAAGTTAATTTATCCTTTTAGCATATTCCT